AAACATAAAATATTCAAACAGCAACTGTAAGTTTTACGTCTAGTGCGTATTATCAGGTAATTCCAATCAATAAATGCCATAATCAGGCCATTTGATGATCGTCAGTCAACCTTCCCATCTTAACCTTATAAGTCATGGCGGCTAAAAACTCCGAACATTGTGATATTCTCAACCAGTTTTATTACTTACGAGAGCTGAAAATGTATTGAAATGTTGTGATATAAATTGATTTGTGTGTGGTACACATTTATCAACCATCAGTGATCAATATTTTCCTTATTTTTTGTGTAATATTCCTTAATTAATTATTTATTTGCGTGATAGGCCGAATGAAAGGACTAGACCCACATTACATACCGTAACCCTATCTGTTAAAACATTGAAAATGTTAACCAGGGACCAGTGAACCGCAAAACTTTAGAACACCAAGAAAACGTTTGGGAAATGCCTTCAATTTATATTAAAAATTGGGGAAAATATACCTCCTTTCCCAGAAAATAAATTGTAAACCTTGGAAACTTTCCAAAGGTATTTGTCTGTGATAGATTTTCAAGTTTTTTTAAAAAAATCCAAAATAAATTTTAAGAGAATTTTAAAGGATTCTAAGGATGGCACCAAGATATATCAGAGATGAATACCAAAGTACAGACTACGAAAGTCTCATGTAAAATTAAGTGCTCTGAGGACCCATTTCTTCATCTCCGCTTAAATCTTAAGCCAGGTTTTCCTATATAGTTAAATTTGGCTTAACACATACGACCGTCGCTTTTGATTATTGTTTAAATTATTAGAGACGCAAAATTCAGCTCCGGAACAATTTTGGAAATAATTTCAATATAATTGAGAGTGCATTTTAACGAGTGTTCTGAGAAGAATTCCATGATGATTGGATGAGGATTCTAGGTCCAATTCTAATACGGATTCAAAATTAGTTCTGAAATTTTGCTTAAAGGAGCTCTGATGAAAATTCCATGAAAATCCCGTGAACTCCAAAGATGGTCTCTGCAGATACAGTTCTAACAGAATTCTGGGGTGATTTCTGAAGATACTTCCAAGCGAATTCTAAAGAGTTCAAAGTAAATTCCCAGAAGAATTCCAATGGAATCAAATTTTGAGGTTTCGATCTCAAAAGAATTCTGAGAAGAGTTTCAAAGTTATTCCACAGACAAACAGACATAACACTCACAATCACATTCATCGCAAATAATGTTTTAGTTGGGAATGTGCTTGCATTTGTCATGGTGGCGCCACTGAAGCATTGAGCAAGCCACCACATTTCGAGCTTATCAGTGATGTCAGTTCTTTTTCACGTCTAGTTGGTAGATGTCAGCTCTTGAAAATGATAAGTGGTCAAGGCATCCCACTGGAGACACATACCACATCTGACGAATATAAGATATTTTTTGATATTACATCAAAACTGCTGCACATCAGTCATTCCGTTCCTAACATAACGTTGTACGATGTACACATAATTCGAGAACGAATCATGTGGATGACTGTAATATTCTATCAACTTTTACCAGTTATTGATGTTCAATACTTCACAATGAATATCATTGATTGATACATATTACATTGACACATCTAGATTTAGAAAGGACACTAACAAGTGATGCATTATCTCGTTTAAAAACTTGTTTCCAGCAAAAGAAAAAGCACAATAAAGAAACAAAACAAATCCCTTAAAAAGTCTTAGCTTCTGTGATTTTTTTCTACGGATCCGTATTTCTGCAGAACTCAATCAATTCTATAGATCTATGGAAAATTTCGAAGAACCGGCATCACTGACTTCCATCTGTTTTGTTTTTATTCAACACAGCTGACGCGTTGACAGAACGAGGGAAAAGCAAGTAGTGAAACAATTGCATGCACGAGGGATGCTCCGGTTGCAAAACAATGCTTGGGAATGTGGATGATAGATGGTGCTAGTGCGCATACAAACAACGCTTGACGATATTTTTTGCAGAATTTTCTTCTAAGTGTTATGTCTGTTTGTCTGTGGTTATTCTGTGATGGATTTTGGTTTTGAGAATTATGAGGAAATACTGTGGGAGTTCTAAGGAGAATTCCAATTAAATGCAAGGGAGAAGTCCAAGATTATTGTCTAAGCAGAAATCAATGTAATTTCTGAGGATAATTGCATTGAAGTTCTAAGGAGAATTCAAATAAATTTATAATGGATTCATGGAAGAAAAAATCGAAAATAATCTAATTTAACTAAAGATGTGTCATTACTTCATGCGTGAATTTAACGATTTACATAGTCGGAGATGCTTAACGTCAAATATCATACTCAAAGAGGAGATTTTATACGATAGATGAGCAGATTAAATTTGAGAGTTGATAGTTCCGCTATAGCACGGCAGTGTGAAAATTGTAAAAAAATTGGACAATTTTGAGGAAGGTACGAATCGGGTAGTTGTTTACGTCAGATGGCGACTTGTATGTGAAACAATCGATAGAACTGTTTCCGCACATCGAAGGTACATGAACAAATCGGCAATCATTCCTTTTGCGAGTGGTGGCAGGGAAAACACCACTCACCATCCATCATTACCGGATGAGCTTGGTAAAGGAGATGCTCTACCCGATTCATACCTTCCTCAAAATTGTTGTTTGTTTGCTTACTACTTTCTATATACAAATTTCACATTGCCGTACTATAACGGAACTTTCAACTCTTTACTTTCATCTCCTCATCTGTCGTATAAAATGTCCACTTTAATTCTGATATTTGATGTTAAGCATTTCCAACTACAAAAATAATCTATTTCCAAGAATTTTGTTGATTGTTCTGCAAAGAATTTCAAGAATGTAATATTATTTTTGTAAAAGCTTATTTGCCTCTAAGTTTAAGAGAAAGGGAATTATTCTAAAAAAGTTCTTGAGATAATTCTGAAGAAATTCTGTGAAAAGTTCTTAGCGAATTATCAAAACTATCTACCTAGATATATCAAAATTTTAAACATTTCGAACACAGAATCAAATTCAAGATCATAAAATTGGGAATTACTATTTGATTGTCATCATGTATAACGTTAGCAAAAGTAAATTATTCAAATCACTTCAAACGCTCTTCACAGGAGATTCCGTTATGAGATTCGATTAAATTAGAGTAATTTATGAAATTTGATTTTAAGTTCCATGACATAAAAACTTTATTTCAATATCAAACCATGTTTGAATTTCTAAGTTACCATATAAATGGTTACTTATTTAGTCTTTACAAGTTACTATTTGGTCACTATTTCCATAATTTTAGTCCTTAAGTCACTACTATTATACCGCATCAGCACTACCAGCCTTGTAAGCTCTTTTATAACCTTGCAACTGGTCGTACCTCTCTGTTCTTTTAGTTTTGATATTCATAGCAAGCGAGCACGTGATTGATTGATTGTGCTTTAAAATTTTGATTAATTTTTAATAGTTAACTAATGGTTTATTTCTAATAATCTTTTTACCAAACAAATCTTACATCAATTCTGAATCAAAGTGTGTTAAAAGAATTAATATCCATGAATAAATGGCCAAGTTAAAAGCGCTTTAAATCTAACACTATTTCGTTACACAATTTTTTAATTTGCCCCTCAGTATAGTCCACAATGACGTAGCCCTACTTCAAATTTCTTGAAATACATCGATAATCTCATATTTTTTAAGGTACCCACGTGACCAATCCGTTAATTGTACGCTAATCATTTTTTTTTCTGCAATGTAAGGTTGATATAAGTCATCATAGTCTGATATCAGCATTATATTGAAAAACGGGCTATTATCAGTAATGAATGTAATGAAGTATTCTAATTTGATTTAATAATCTTTTCCAGAACTTCATGAAAATTCCCAAAGATTCCCTGAATTTCCAGGTGGTAAATAAAAAACCCTGAATTTTCCGGATTTTCAATTTTTTTTTAAAAGAATTCTACACCGTATTTTTACTGATTCAAGCAATTCAATTCAATTCAAAGACAAAAAGTGTGTGCACTACACTACGCTCACTGAACAGAATGCACAGTTTCATATCAAACAATTCTTATATAATTTCCATCACCAGCAGCCCACTGAACTGGTTCTTTAATCTTCTAGAGTTTATTCTGTTACAGTCACTTTAACATTCTTGTGACTTTGGAGTGAGAGCTATTCGTCCCGGGTTGCCCCACTCTTTTAGAGTTTGAACAGCTGGTTTTCATGAGCCGCGAAAAGAAAGAAAACTAATTTTTCGCTCCACTTCCAAACAAACGCCCCGGTCACGTGTGTCTCTATCGATCCCACACCTTAACGCCCCGAGTCAGCATAAAACGTGTCGGCAGGTAGGTATCTTCAAACGACAAAACAGTCAACTATGTTTTCCCTCATTTGCAACGCAATTCCGACGTATTCAGGTGAGTATTTACGAAATGGATTAACAACGCGACCCGAGCAAAATCGATATCGTCAATAATCAATAATCAATCAGGCGTCAGGCTTTTACGGTGGATACTGTAATCAATTTTGCGCGTTTGATGGCAGCACTGCCAATGTCAATTGATAACTTGTAAAAGACGATTGAAGTGTGAGTTTTATTTACATTTTCATGCTTTACGTTTGATCTTTGATCACCACCACAGCGCTGAGGAGGTGTGCATGGACGAGATGGAATTTTGATGACGGAATTCTGGTGCACAATGATTCACACGGTTGGAATTGAATTAACGAGAGTTGAACCACGAAACGGGTCAGAGTGATAAATTTTTCATTGCCTCCCCCTCATCTGCCATAAAGAAGGCAGAGATCGATAATATCATCCTGTACGCTCAGTCGTGTGTGATTTCGTGTGAAGCGTGTGTGTACATTTTGGTTGAGTGCAGTGGATGATTTGGGCACGTACCGTTTCGAGATGACTTGCGGGCGTACGGCTGAAGATGTCCAACCCGCCACCCAATCGAGCGGAGGAAGATCCGGAACCGTTTGCAGTCCGGAACGGATTGCCGGGGCAGTCCGTCAGGAAGTAAACACACCAATCTCTTCAAGGGGTTTTGCAGCTGTACACCACGATAAACACCGCACAACGCACTCGACACGACACGACACTCTCGTTAACACACACAGCACAGAAACTCAGACCGAACTGTGTGTCCAAACGCGGTGGGGCTTGACGCGAATCACACTGAAGGGTTCCGCCGTCGCACACACTTGCTTTTGGTCCCCCTTTATTCTGTGGAGCAGTCCGATATTGACTACACACTCTATAGAGTAAGTTCAGTCGGTGCCCGAAGTTCACGTAGGCAGGAGTGAAGGAGAGAGATAGAGCCGGAGCGAGAACGTATGTGAAGTAATTGTAAAAAGGGGAGCTTTTTCAAGTTGTATTTTCTTCGGAACGCACTGGGCGGGGGAGTTGGAAGCAGTTAACTCGGTCGGTGGGTCTAGTAGCGTGGTCTCGGTAGATCCCGGAGGCACGCACGCACGATACGGAGTACGCTGGCAGTAATGATGCTTCGCCGGAGTCGGAGTGGTTGTCGTCGTGTTCCACTAGAACTAGAATATAGTACCTGTCACTTTACGGCGGGAGCGAACACACTACTGTCGTCGTACTGTGCGAACCGTGTGGAATCGTGCTCGGGAACCACCGTCCGTCGTAAATTGCCACCCATCTGCTTTCGATGTGTGGAAATCTTCGTGCGTGAGAGCGAGGGAGACTTTCCAAAGTGAGAGAACTGTCCACGTGGTTGTAGTTGTTTTCCGCACACTGCCATACCACTGCCGTGCAACTGTATTCGTACCGTCAGCGGAAGCTTTTGGATAGTACACTCAGAGAATTGGCATTGCCATTTAATGCAGTTTCCACTCAAAACCTCACACTGTTTTCTTGCTTCCGGATCACACAATCTAGATCTACAGTACCCGTTCGAAACCACAATAAAAAAAAACGATATTCACTTGTTTCACCTCAATCTAGACAAATTGCGATTACACATTCAGTGTGCCATCTGTCAAATCGCTTCTGCCAACATGAACGATGACGTAAGAGCAACGCATGCGCTCACGACTGTCGTCTGTGTCTGTGTCTCACGTGTGGTGGTCCTGCCGTACACGGGGCCAAAACTCGTGGCCCCACTATCTTCGTCAGACCGTGAGTGTCAGCAGCTATTATCTAATCTCTATCCGGCGGATTTCTTTTCTCCTCTTCCACCAAAACAAAATCAATACCAATTATTGCATGCCCTTTGACACCCACTGCAGAACACCTACAACTCAAGCCCGCATTCTCACCTCTTTCGGAAACAAAAATCAAACCCGGAACGCCTCCCCTCGGACCCGTCTGTCTGTCGCGCGAGAACCGAGAAACTCGCCAAGAAACCTTTCAAAATTGCACAGCTTTTGACACCGAAAATAACACAACACAACACTTCCGTCTAAGGAGGGCTTCAGAACTTTTTTTTTCGGATGGCCGCTCTACCTTTTACCACGGATAACCGGAAAGACGACGACGACAACGGCTTTACGACGACGACAACGACGATGAACCCAAAAACCGAGAAAAATAGAGACACACACAGCACTTTTGCACCATCGAAAAAACGGAACGGAAACGGCGACCCGTGTGAAGAGTGTAATCTAGTACGACTTTTGTCTCGTCCTTGTTATTTTTCTGTATTCAACGCCGTGGCGGTGGCGGTGGTGAAGCTGGAGACGGCGACACGCGGTGACAGAATCGATGATGGGGACGGGATTTTCCACTTGAAGTAGAATTTTCCGCTCTCGGAGAGAAAGCGCGTGGAAGCTTTTCTACCAATACCGTCACAGATGCCTGCCGGAAAAAGGACACCCTACCGAGGAGGGGAGTCGTATACTGGAATGTTTCCCCCTTCGAGCAGATTTGCGAGAACAGGACGGAGAACGACCACTGGAAAATGCGCAAAGCTTTCTTCCAGGAGGCACCCCCTCTAATCGAGAGAAAGAGACTGGAAGAAAGCTCACCCACCACCAATACCGTCACACAGTGACAAGTCAGAGCATGGTGTTGGAATCGATTGGTGTGGAGCTTCGGCAGTTAGAAGATTCTATTCGCGACGACGGACGACAGGGTTTATTTTATCATGTGATCCGTTTGCTGAAAGTAGGAACAGTTTGAAGGGACCGAACGAATGGGAAAACATGGTCCGTCATATGATTTGCTTCTTATGCATGGGTTTGAATCGATTGAATCGCGCGAATGGGAGCTATGGGGCTATTCGCCGTTTGAGTGTAAACCGGGAGAGAAGAAACGTCAGAAACCGGACGTCAAATCTTATCTAGATAAAAGAGAGAAAAGCGATTTCCTTTCGGGGCATTGAGGGGGCGATTAGTTTGAATTAGGCGTTGTTGCAAAATGACAATGACTTTGGCCGTTTTTCATTGTTGTCCTTGGCTAGCAAGCATGACTGATTTCGCACCCAAATGGGGGTCTGGGTTCAATCCCAGCCGAGGTCGGTGGGATTTTTCTAAGGTATAAAAATCTCTGGTCGCGACTTCCTTCGGAAGGGAAGTAAAGCCGTTGGTCCCGGCTTATGTTTGTTGAATGGGTGCGATATCCTACGCAGGTGTGTTGAAGCTGCCTTCCTGTGCACAATCGATTGCGGCCAATCAGTGCTGCAAAATCTCGACAATGCACGGTGATATTGACAGAATTGCTTTGGTCACTCATTGTGAGCTAACAGTCACAGTCACTGGCAAACCATGTCAATTGTCAATGACGAACATGTGTACATTTTTTTAAATAACTAAATTTGTAATTTGAGCAACACAATTACATGGAGCCGTTAATGTGAACAAACATCTGCGTCCTGAACTGCTTAGATAGCAATAATGTGACACAGAATATACGAAATCACACTTGTTGTTATCAGGTGTATCTTTGTCATTGACGAAACAATGAATGAGATTTTGACGAAGATTTTTTGAGGATCAAGTCTATGTGACGAACAATTTTTTTCGATATCGCGCGAAAGCCTGTCAATGACAATGATAAATCTTAGCACTGCCACCAATGGATGGCAATCTATGTCCGTCGGTGATTGGCCCTAGATTGTGGAACAGAGACCTGTAGAATATACCAGAATAAACAAGAACAAATTAAATATCTTTAAATAACACATCAACTTAAAGCTTGGTTGTATAAACAAACAAAAACAAAAAAAAAAGAAGAAAGAGAAGAAAAGAAAAATAAATGCTAATGATGAATTATTATCACGATAAGCCTTTTTGAGAACTTCTACCTTGCATTCCATGCGACCTTATCTGAAAGCGGAGAATACCTATTCTGCCTAAAGAGGGGAAATTAGAAAGCTCCCTGATTGGTGATTAGCAAATAGAGGCGAAATTAGATGGGGTATAAATACGAGGTACCTGTGATCGCTAAGCTCACAAACCAATCCCACCAAGGTGGTCATACTTTAAAATAGGCCTGATAGGACTAGGAACTGTAAATAATAATTAAAATCTCAAATGTACCAAAGTTGAAAAGACGCATCTGTGTCACTTAACATATTCATACATGTAAACCACACAATCACAAGAAATAAAGATCATTTAAATGGCAAAAAAAAAAAAAAAATCGCTAAGCTCATTCTTGTGACACGTTTTCATGATGACGCAGCAAGCAGCAGTAACAACAACAGTATCAGCAAGGATGGAAGCAGCAGCAGAAGCAGAACAACGGCAGCGGACCGCTCTTGCCAGTGCGATTGACCGCATGCATCAGCGAGGGCCGAAGAGAATTCCGACCCTCATTTCAGCTGACGAGCAGCAACCCGGCAGATTCGTGAAGCCGTTACCCCCGGTTCACGACAAGACCGACGTTAAATAAAGGAATGAAGATGAAGAGAAGAAATTAAAATCTGTTTGCACATGATGGCACTTCTTGAGAAGACAGTTGATGAATCATGCATCGGTTTTGACCAATAATTATACATGTACCAACCTTGTTCACACTACAGCCTATATTTAGTATTATGAAATATCTTGATATCAGAATTGACACACTAATTCTGAATTAAGTTACCCAATTATTTTTGAATTTCGGAATTTTATTTCTATCTAGTTCGTTTATTTGGAAGTTTCAGCCGCGTTAGCTTTACGGAGCCAATAGTTCATTGTTTATTGTTTGTAACACTTATTTCTATGTCTAGTAGGAGTTGGGCCGAATTCTCGCGGCTTACCCGAGGTTAGAGAGGTACATTATCGAAAGATAGGATTAGGGGAGGAGATTGGGAGTGGGGTTTCGTTGTCTCAACAGAGCGTTGTCGTCAGTATGATCCGTCTGGAGTTTGACCGACTATGGTGAACGGTGGGAGACGATGAGACTCATCCAGATGGAGGGACAAGACAAACAAAAACTAATAAAGAGAGACCAAAGGCAATGGTATTAAATTCTTTTACTAGAAATTTGCAGATATCGTGAGTTACCAACATGTCTCTGATAGGAATATAGGGTTTTCTTTCTAGGGCCTCGAGGGTAATCAAAAGTCGCTACCTGGTGGCGTCATTATCCGTACATTCCCAAACTGCGTGATCGATGTCATTGTAAAAGTTTCCACACCAACAGATGTTGCTGTCCACGAGGTTTATTTTATGGAGATGCGCATCTAGCGAGTAGTGGTTGGACGTAAGTCTACTAATCACGCGACTTAAGCCCAAGCTTTGCAACCACGCTATCGAAGAAACATTAGGAATAATTTAATGTAACCACCGTCCAAGACTTCCAGTTTCCCAATGGGTTTGCCAAATCTAAAGGGTGGAATTGTTCATTTATTTATTTTTTTATTTGATTGCTTATTAACTATGTCTTATATATTATTGCCTGGCTAACCTTGAAAAGAATGCTTTTTTAGTGTTATTTTTTTTATTGTTACATCAATTGATTTAGAATATGCGTTAAAGCAGGACATAATTCTATTCAAAGGTCCGTTTTTAGCATAGTCTGTCCTTTGATTGTTAATGTAAAACAAATTCCTAATCCTCAGAGAGCGAGTGGGAACATAAAAATTTATATTTTCTAAAATTTCCGGATTATTAACTCTTTGAGCAATAACATCATTTATAAATGTTACCATGGCTAAGTCTCTTCGTTTTTCCAGTTCATCTAAATTTATTTAAAAAACATCGTGATTCATAAGATGGAAATGGTAATCTCGTCCAACCTAATTTTCGAAGGGAAAACAACAAAACCTGTTTTTGAACAAACTCAATGCGGTTTATATATGTATCCTGATACGGAGCCCACACTACGCTACAGTATTCAAGAAGAGGTCTCACATAGGCCACATACAATGTTTTAATAGTGTAAGGATCATTGAAGTGCAGACTAAATCTTATGATAAACCCTAGCATGTTACTTGCTTTATATATAATGTTATTCTCGTGATCAACAAATGATAGCTTAGAGTCGAGAATAATGCCTAAGTCTATTACTTGATTCCACCTTTCAACTGTTTTCTCACCAAAGGAAATTGTGTCATTTATTGTAGCATGCTTTTTTTTTGTAAACGATATAGAATTACATTTACTAACGTTAAGCTCTAAAAAATTCTTACACCAAGTG